ATGTTGCCTCATCCCTCACAAAAAACTTATTAGCATAAAAATCAAGAAAAACATTATAATCATGAGTAAATCTAGAAACAGATGAAAGATTTCTCATAATCTGAGGAACACATAGAACGATATTAAGCCTCAAGACACTTGACTTAACTGGAATACAAACATTCCCTATATGAGAGATGCCTAGAGTAAACTCGTCACCAATGTAAACCTTACATGAACCAGTGTAAGGTGTGGTTGGAAAAGCAGTCGTCTGTTCATACGTAACATAATACATGGCCCTTAAATCACGGAACTACCTATCTATAACAAAAAGCACACCTTTGGAAATAAGGGTATTCACCTGAGTAGTATTGTCAGTATCGACCCCTGTAGATGTACTCACAAAAGGATTATAAAAGACCTCAGAGGAATTGGTGCCAAACTTGCAAACATTAGCCTAACCATCACTGGAAGACTTATCACTTTGAGAAGTAACCCCTTTAAACTCTTTATCAAAGTGATGCCAACACCTATCCAATAGATGGCCAAGCTTACCGTATAACTGACATTGATGCCGTGGAAGACCCTTGAATCGACCAACAAACTGTCCTATTCCTTGACTATCGAAAAACTGTTGATTGCCTTCATGCCTATTATCGTAGCCATATCTGAACATGACTAACCATGTTGACGCTGATTGGAGTCCTTATAAGATCCCTTAAATGTAATTTTTCATCAATGAGCACTGAGGTCACAATATCAAAGTTATAGGTATAACGACTCACCATAATCACAATAACAAACGGTTCGATCTCAGGTGGAAGAACATTGAGACGAGTCACAATCTGCTCCATCTCAGAGATTGGACTACCATTGGAGGCAATAAATTCACAGATCTCTTTGATATGTGTAGAGTATTCTCGAACAGCTGGTGATAACTCCATAAAAAGACTATATTTTAGGTCTTTTTACTTAATTTATCGATTGTCTAAAAGCCATTGACATAGCATTGTAGATGCATATAGTTGCATTTAGGACATATTTTCATGTGGTGGATAAGTTTTACTAAGGAAAAGTTTATTTGATTAAACTGATGAGAAAGGTTGTTTGTTGATTGTGATGATGCAGTAAATGACTGAGGATGAATTTATTTGTTAAGACAAATTAATTTGCTAGGGCCAATGGAACAGAAAAAGACGACAGTGAGAAACAAATTTTCCTGCCAAGGCGAGTTTTATCTCACCTTATGAGACAATATGAGACAGTATGAGACAATATTACTGATGTCACATGGCCAACTGTCCAATCTACCTCACGTGCAATATGCCCTCATCAAGGAATTTGAGACCACCGTAAATTGCTATGTTATTCACAAAAAAGGTTTAACTTTAAGGGTATTTAGGGGATTTGCAAGGGTACTAAACCCTAGAAATTCCCACTATAAATATCTCATTATATCTCTTCATAAAGTGTTCAGAATCATATAGAGAAAATACCCTAGGCTTGGAAAAAGGCGGTCGCGACGTCCTCTTTTCCACTATTCCCCACTTGTCCATCCTTGGTGTCCTGCATAGCCAAGCTTTGCCAGACCAGTGGCTAGGCCCTCGACAGGGGCTAGCCGCTGGAGCAGTCATAGTGGTGGTTTGATGCCACGTCAGAGCTCTGTTCTAGGAGTTTTTCTTTCTCTTGTTCTTCGTTTTCTTATCTTTTAAGGGCTTGTACTTAAAGATTGATTTTTGGGATGATATTTACCACATCATGAATTGTTTTACTTGTTGTTGGATGTTGCTTTGTTGAAACATTATTTGTTTTTTAATGAATGGTGCAGATTGTTTATGCTAAGTGTTGTTTTGTTCAATGTTTTAATATTTTGCCTTGACACTATAAGAGCTTTTGAGAGATTGTCTGGTTCCTCGGCAAAACATTCATGTTCTTTGTAAGAGCTTTCAAGAGATTGTCATTTTTTAGGAATAGATGCCTGATATCGAGAGAGTTAGGGTAGATCTACGTGAACAACGGAATTAATCCGGGATGGTGAGGTTCTAATGTGCCTTAGAGATAAGGAGAGGGTTTTATTCGACTAAAAGGGGTAAATATTTGAGTAAGATAGGCAAAGACTATAGTTTACATTGAGGAGTATTGCCACAACAACAGTTTGACAAACCAAGGGTTGTAGCTCACACCGAGTAGTATTGTCGTAGCAACCGTCCTTGAATACTCTAGTAATCCTGTCTAGCAGCCTAAGCATATCGTACCAAATCATTCTTAGCATAAAATAAATTCTCTCCATAGCAAAAATAACCTAAGTGCTCTGTTAGAAGTCTGATTGTGTGAGGTTTCCAGTTTATTTCCAAAGTTTTGATAATTTTAGCCTTAGAATTTTTTCTTTATTTACTATTGCATATTTTTCTTACCTCGACAAAACTTTTCTGCACACCATACTTCACAATATTCCTTGCCTAGACAATACTTTCCCGTTCATTCATATCCGTTAGTATTACTTGTTTTGTTTCGACAAGAACTTCAGAACTAGTTCGTGATACCTAGTTCTAGTTATAACAAAACATCAATAATTCCCACTAATCCCTGAGAAGATGATAACTCTACTTACTACTATATTACTTACATTGATTGTGTACACTTGCATAGATTTGCTTGCCTTAGCATATACATTCACAAGCGATCAAGTTTTTTGGCGCCGTTGCCGGGGATTGGCAACTGAAGGAATCTTGATAATTTCTGCCATAGCAAATTTTTTATTTCTTCTCACATTTTATTTATGTAGTATAAATTATTTCTTTTCTCATTTTCTTTTGAAGGTTTTTATCATTGTATGACCCTGAGATCTACTGGTGAACCATTAGAGCCATTCGACCCTGAGATCAAACAGTCATTCAGACAAAGGCGACGTAACCAACGTACAGTGATGTGATCACTTGAATATGATTCTTAACAATCTCAACCCTGGAATTATGGCACCTGAAATACAGTGATGTGATCCTGCCGACCACCAAGTTCAAACAAAACAAGGTCACAACTTTGAAGTTCTTCCAAGATGATTCTAAGGGAATTCTTCCATATTTTATTACTTATTTACTCATCTATGCTTTATATGTGTTATAAGCATGCTTTTACATTCTAAACTATGCTTGAATATTCATATATTGTCCTATGCTTGCATCCTATATGATATTCATGCATGTCACATCTTTAATTAGCTTATTTCATGCATATGTTACACATTCCTTACTTATGTTATCATATCAAGTGCATTATTATATTAGCCATGGAATCATGTGTTATATTAGAATGTTACTTATTACTTATTCATTAACTTGAGCATTGTAACTTATATACATTTTGTATTTAGTGCAAGGTACATTCAAGACAATCCAATGGACAGTTCACGTCACTTATATTGATCGCCATTTTTTCACAAGTTCGAGGCATCCTTGGGTCATGGTGTCTCTTGAAATATAATCCCCTATCTATTATCTTTTCAACTCACTTTTAATCGCATCAATATGATATCGCGAGCTCGAGATATTCCTATATTACTGAAGAGAGTGTAGGCTGGAAATAAATACGAGATTTGCAACCATTCATCTCCTTCAAAGGACTTATGCATAGGAGGCATTAATGGAGACATGAATGGACAAGAAAAGAATATTAAAATGAATCAGAACATTTGTGAGAAGGTGCAAGGTTTCATTCAAAGGCTTTTAAATTCATCCATTCATGCATATTCATGCAAGAAGCAGAATGGTCTTGTTCACACTAGGGGGAAGAATTTCAGCCAAGATACATTCATGAACATTCATCCAAAGAAGACAAATCAACATGTTCACATATGGGAAGAAGGATTCGGCCATGAAGATACATTCATGAAGATTTTTTTCATTTAATTCATCATACATTCACCATTGACCGTACATTGTATTTCCCTAAAGGATGAACATTCATCCATGAATGTTCACTCATTAAATCTTTTATGTACATCCTAGACATATTTAGGCCTATAAATAGTTTAGCTTTCATTTTGTAATCAAACTAACTTTGTTTAATCAAAACTTGTGAGATTTTTTTCTCTTTCTAGTTCTTTGAGAACTATATCGACTTATCAAGTGCTCTTGTGCTTCTGGCTTCACCAATCTTCTATCCACCCTGCTACTTTTGGTTCTTTTGGTTTTATATACCTAAAGGGTCAAAGTCCTTAAACACCATCCCTCAAGTTTCTATAAGGTATAGGGTTAAGCTTTAATATAGCTTAGTTTGATTCATTTGTTTCTTGAGATACTATCTTCATTCTTCACTACCATTTCTATGCTTCTTTCTTCCATCACCATAACATTGTTCCATATACAAAAACTTCTTTAAATCCTTTCAATCATATCATCATCGTCATCTATTCCATTGTCATTTTTATCTTACCAACTTATTCATTCATACTTAACCATTTTCTTTTATGTCTTCTTATTTTAGGAACACTTGCTACCTTCCTAGGTCCTACGATCAAAGTGCAATTCTTACCTCACCAAGTGGACTAGGGCATGCTTGTATCATACATGAAACCCATTTTGAACTTAAACCGGTGATGTTCAATATGCTAAACTCCATCGGTTAATTTGGTAGCTCCCGTAATAAGGATGCTAGACAACATGTCCATGCCTTCCTTGAAGTGTACGATTTCTTCAAGCAACAAGGAGTACATGAAGATGTACTGAAGCTTAAACTTTTCCCTTATACGTGACCAATCAAGAGCTTGGCTTAGTGTAGTTCCTTCTAGATCAATGGGATCTTGGGTTGATTTATGCAAACGTTTTATTCTTCATTACAACCCGCCCCACATGCACACCCAACTCCACAATGACATTTTGAGTTTTCGCCAAGGTGATGAGGAATCTATGTACGAGTGCTGGGACATATATAAAAGCTTGCTTCGCAAGTGCACTAACCACGGATTCCATGACTGGACTCAAGTTGTGATATTTTACAATGGAGTCAATGCACCTACTCGCATGATGTTAGATGCGTTGGCAAATGGCACTTTGCTCGACAAATCACCTGAGGAATCCTTTGATATCCTCGATTGGATAGCCAATATTGACTATCAATTTCCATTTGCAAGACTTGGGACTGACAAAAGAATATCTAAGGCATATGAACTTGACAGTAAGAATTCAGTTTCTGCCCAACTTTATGCTATAACTAACATGCTTAAAAATTTGCAGCGTTCTAGTGAGGTGAAAGAAGTCAAGGAAACTAACTCATTATGCATTTTATGCCGAGGAAACCATCATGAGAGTGAATAACCAGAAAGCCAGGAGTCCATCAATTTTTTGGGCAACTTCAATAGAAGCAACAACAACAACCCCTATTCCAATACATACAATCCTAGATGGCGACAACATCCAAATTTTTCGTGGGGTAATCAAGGAAATAACAATAACAATTATGTATGAAATTTTAATAGGCCACAACAAAATGTTTTTGAACACTCAAGTTCGCAACATCAACATATGCCATGGCAAGGTAATAATAAAAGTAACGCATCTTCAAACTCTAACACTCTTGAAGCTTCACTGCAGGAATTTATGGCCTCATCAAAAGATTTTATGGCTTCAACAAAGACCATGATACAGGAAAACTCATCAACAATCAAGAATCAAGGAAATCTATTACAAAGCCAATCAGCTCTATTACAAAGCCACAGCTCATCGTTGAGGGCATTGGAGAATCAAGTGGGACAAATTGCCATGGCATTACATTCGCGCCCACAAGGAAGTCTCCCTAGCGACACTCAGGTCACTACGCCTCAAGGAAAGGAGCAATGCAGTGCGCTCACGTTGAGGAGTGGTATTCAGATTAATATAGAGGATAAGTTCAGTGGAGAGCAACCAAAAAATTTTAGCGAAGGCACCACACATTAAGAACTTGAAAATCAATATGAGATTACTGAAATCACAAAACTAGCTAAGGAGAAGGAAAGGAATGAGGGTTCGACAAGTCAACATACTAATAGTGAAAAATTATTTGCCAAGGAAAAAGTTGCTTCACCACCTGTAGAGAATAAAGTTAGACCTCCGCCACCTTTCCCTCAGTGGTTGAAGAAACATAATGACGAGAATCATTTCAAAAGATTTGTTGATGTCCTTGATCAGTTGCATATCAATGTTCCATTACTTGGAGCCATTGAGAAGATGCCTTCCTATGCCAAATTCCTGAAAGACATTGTCACAAAGAAGAGAAAGGTGGAAAGAATGGAAAATGTAGCCACGACAACAGAAGGTTGTTCGCCAATGAGTAAAAATCCTCTAAAACAAAAAGATCCTGGTCGCTTTATTATACCATGTTCCATTAGTGATACATATGTTGAAAGAGCTCTTTACGACTTGGGGTCAAACATAAATCTGATGCCCGATTCCATCTTTTTGAAAATTGGAATGGGTAATGCTCGACTAACCACTGTGACTTTACAACTAGCTGATCGATCACATGTTTGTCCCGAAGGCAGAATTGAAGATGTAATTGTTATTGTGGACAAGTTTGTCTTCCCAGTTGATTTTCTCATTTTAGACTGTGAAGCCAATGAAAATGCCCCTATTATCCTTGGACGTCCATTCTTAGCTACAAGGCGTATTCTAATAGATTGTGCGAAGGGAGAGTTCACGATGAGGGTGGCTGATCAAATCATCATAATCAATGTCTTCAACACTCTTAAATACATTGATGATTTTAAAGAATGCCATTACATTGAAGACATTAATTCATTGGACGAAGCTGGAACAGAAAATTATGGTCAAGGGAACTTTTCACATCTTAATGAGTTAACAAATTTTGCAAAGACTGTAAAATTTTTGGCCAAGATGATGTTTTACAATATCAGGAACACAACACTTGTTATCACGCAAAATTTTTTCTGAATGAAGCAAACAAAAATATTTACCTAGGCGAAAGTTTCTCAACTGAAATAGATGAAAGACACACTGAGAGTATAACATTTCCAAAGTCTGAGGAAAATTCATTGGAAGAAGAACAATCTACTTTACTTCAAGCTAGACTAGGTATGAGATTCGAACCCCTTGATTTGAATGAATTTATTCCTCCAAAACCTTCACTACAACATGCACCTACCTTATAACTTAAACAATTGCCATCACATTTGAAATACACTTATTTAGGTAGTGACGAAACTTTACCAGTTATAATTTATGCTAATCTAACCCCCAAGCAAGAGGGAAGTTTGTTGAATGTTTTGTCATAGCACAAAAAAGCTCTTGGGTGAACCATGGCAGATTTAAAGGGAATCATCCCTACAATATGCACGCACAAGATCCAATTAGAAGATAGCCATAGAAATTATGTGGAACCACAGAGGAGACTTAACCCGATAATGAAAAAAGTGGTGATGAAGGAAATCATAAAATGGCTGGATGCTGGAGTGGTTTATCCAATATCTGATAGTTCATGGGTCAGTCCAGTGCAATGCGTGCCAAAGAGGGGTGGCATGACCATGGTTAAGAATGAGAATGATGAGCTTTTGACTACAAGAAAATTCAAGGGATGGAGGATATGTACGGATTACAGGAAGCTCAACAAGACAACAAAGAAAGACCACTTTCCTCTCCCTTTCATTAATCAAATGCTTGATAGGTTAGCAGGCAAGGCATTTTATTGTTTCCTTTACGTATATTCTGGTTACAATCAGATCGTCGTAGCACCTAAAGATCAATAAAATACCACTTTCACCTACCCGTATTGTACCTATGCCTTTAGAAGAATCTCGTTCGGACTATGTAATGCTCCAGCAACTTTTCAGAGGTGTATTATGGCCATTTTCTCAGATATGGTGAAAGACTTCATGGAAATATTTATGGATGACTTCTCTGTCTCAGGCCACGACTTTGACCGATGCCTCGACAATTTATCTAAAGTGCTGAAGCGATGTGATGAGTCCAACCTTGTGATAAACTGGGAAAATGTCACTTTATGGTGACCGAAGAAATTGTGTTGGGACACAAAATTTCTCACCAAGCCATCGAAATGGATAAAGCCAAAGTAGATGTAATTGAGAATTTACCTCCACCCACCACCGTAAAGGGCATACGAAGTTTCCTAGGGTATGCAGGATTCTACAGGCAATTCATAAAATATTTTTTCAAAGATTTCGAAGCCTCTATGTATGCTACTTCAACAAAATCAACCGTTTGTGTTCAACAATGAATGCCTCAACGCATTCATTGATTTGAAGAAAAAACTCACCTCGGCACCAATTATTGTACCACTTGACTAGGATGATCTTTTTAAGCTGATGTGTGATGCAAGTGACTATGCGGTAGGGGCAGTGCTAGGGCAAAGAAAAGGTAAAATTTTCCATGTCATTTATTATGCTAGTCGTACCCTTAATGATGCACAACTTAATTATACCACCACTGAAAAAGAATTGCTTATTGTAGTATTTTCTTTTGACAAGTTTAGGCCATATCTTATATGAACTAAGGTTATCGTACATACTGATCACTCTACCATTAAGTACTTAGTTAATAAAAAAGATGCAAAGCCTAGGCTTATTAGATGGATATTATTATTGCAAGAATTAGATTTAGAGATAAATGATAGAAGGGTACTGAAAACCAAGTAGCAGATTATTTGTCTAGGCTAGAGAACAAAAACATTAGTCATGACATGAAGGATATTCAAGAGGATTTCCCTGATGAGAAAATTTTATTTGCCACGGCTGTGCCGTGGTATGTTGACGTAGTTAACTTTCTTGTTAGTGGTGTTATGCCTCCAAATTTATTTAGCCAGATCAGAAGAAAATTTAGACATGATGTACGCCACTATTACTAGGATGAACCATTCCTATTCAAGCAATTTGGCAACCAAATAATATGTAGGTGCTTCCCTGAAGAAGAAAATAAGGAGATTTTATTTCATTGTCATTCATCCCCGTGTGGAGGGCACATTGGTGGGATGAGGACTGCTGCAAATGTCCTTTAATCTGGCTTCTACTGGCCTACCTTGTTCAAGGATGCACATATATTCTATAAGTCATGTGATCGTTGCCAGTGCACTGGGAGCATATCGAAGAGAAATGAGAAGCCATGGCAAAACATTTTGGAAGTTGAGCTCTTTGATGTATGGGGGATCGATTTTATGAGACCTTTCCCCTCATCCTTTGGTGATCTATACATACTCTTGGTGGTAGACTACATTTCCAAATGGGTTGAAGCCTTGGCCACACCTCGTAATGATTCCAAGACTGTGTTGAAATTATTACACAAGATTATATTCACACATTTTGGAGTACCATGAGCAATTATCAACGATGAAGGTACTCATTTCAACAACAAATTTATTGCCAATGCGCTGAAAAGATACGAAGTGCGTCACAGAATTGCTACTGCATACCATCCATAGATTAATGGGAAGGATAAGGTTTCTAATCGCGAGATTACACAGATTCTTGAGAAAGTGGTTAACCCCAAACATAAGGATTGGTCGCCAAATCTTGATGAGGGACTGTGGGCCTACCGAACAACATTCAAAATGCCACTTGGAATGTCACCATTCAAGCTAGTATATGGCCAGGCGTGCCATTTACCCATCGAATTGGAACACAAAGCATTTTGGGCCATGAAGAAACTCAATATGGACGCGTAGGTTGTTGGAGAAAGAATATTGTTAGAGCTGAATGAAATGGATGAATTTAGAGATCAGAAATATGAAAATGGCCACCTCTACAAAGAAAAAACAAAAATATGGCATGACAAAAAAATTTTGCCTAGGTAATTTTTTTGAACAACAAGTATTGCTCTACAATTCAAGACTCAAGCTATTTCCAGGCAAGCTAAAATCTAGATGGTCAAGATCATTCATCGAACATCAAGTCCATAGCAATGGAGCAATAGAAATTAAGAACTTAGATGATGGATCAACCTTTAAGGTGAATGGTCAATGAATGAATGCATACAATGGAGAACCCATTTTACGTGATAAACCGGTTGTAACACCCATTTCTTGTATACGTTTCCGTACACAAGTCATAGATGTCACATTACTTGTAAAAATATTCACCCATAAAATTTTGTTTCAAAATTTAAACAAAACATTTTAGTACAATAATAAAACAGTTGTTGAAACATATTACCAAAATTATCACTTTAAATACATTTTAGAAAATTTTTCTTTATTTCGATTACATGCCAGTAATTTTTCAAAATGATTGTCCTACTATTACTGATGAGAGTCAACCTTAAATTGATGATGGCTGTTCCCTTACCCGACTAGTCTTTGCTTTTACCTACGCGTGAAATCAACACACGTTAAGTATTTACTTAGTGAGACATAATATTGTAAGAAACTACAATTTATGCATAAGTATATCATGTCTATTTAATGAAAACTATATCGCATACTCTATAAGGATCAGATAAATCCTTCTGAGTTAAACCGATTTCTTTCATACAATCATCAAAATTATTCTTAGTATGCCCAGCATACCTATCTTTCTGTATATTTTCCCCATCATTCTTTAGTAATTATTCTTTATCTTCATTTATGACATCCTTTAATGTATATAATGCACGATTATGCATTTTCATTTATGGCATCCTTTCATGCCTATAATGCACCATTATGCATTTCATTTATGGCATCCTTTCATGCCGTTAATGCACCGTTATACATTTCATTTATGAAATCCTTTCATGTCGTTAATGCACCGTTATGCATTTCATTTATGGCATCGTTTCATGTCGTTAATGCATCGTTATGTATTTCATTTATGTCATCCTTTCATGTCGTTAATGCACCATTATGCATTTAGTCTTTTAGTCAAAGGAATTTAACCTTTCATCTAACTTGCATGACTGACACCTTTCTGCCAAATGCGAGTTAGGCATTTAGTCTTTCATTTTAGAACATTTTCTACTCTAATAATTATTCATAATATCAATTTACTCTTTCAATTCATTATTAACTCTATAGTTTGCACACGTAGTGCCAATACGGTAATTCATAAACTTATTATGAATTACATGGGGTTGTACACACAATACTAATGTGGAAATTCATAAACTTATTATGAATTTCTTAAGTTTCACACATAGTGCCAATACAGTAATTACAGTACATACATTAAAAAATATGAATCGATAACTATCATAACATATAAGCACATAATAATTGCACTCAGTTGATATGGCTCCCTGATATGATGTAGTGAGGTCCAACTTCTCAATAACTTTATCCTTGCCCTTTTTCTTACTTGACTTGAAAGCTTGATTAGGATCTACACAAGCATCCATTTAGTACACATGTCATACAAATGTTAGTATATTCTCTAACATTTATACTTTCATAATACTCAAAAGTACTATTATTTTCAATTTCTATTACAATTTCAACCTATCTTACAATTTCAGACTATCTTACAATTTCAGACTCAATAGTATCGGTACCCCTATCATGGTATCGATACTTCTATACTATAGTATCGATACTCCTTGTCAGTATCGATAGCATTTCTACATTCTGTAATATATGGTATCGATACCTTTATCTTAGTATCGATACTCATATCAGTATCGATACTGATTTAATCAGTATCGATACTTATTCAACATATTTCTTCCAGTTAAACCTATAGTATCGGTACTATTTTTCAGTACCGATACCCCTACCCATATTTTCTATTTTTCAGCTTGATTTTTCCACAAATTTAGTCAATTTCCATTACTTTTACCTCTAACAATACTATGAAACTCTTCTTTACTTATCTCAACTAACTTTCCTTCATTTAGCTTCTTATAACATCTAAAATCTCCAAAGAACATCTTAAACCAAGAATCATACCACTTTTTCTTACATGTTTGTAATCATATCCAAGGATTCTAATCTCTTATTTACTTCTTTGACAAGT